GAGGGAAAGGGGCGTGATGTGAAGATGATTTTTGTTTGGTCAGACGGGGTGTGGGATATACAATGGGTTGAAGACTAGGGTTGGAACCGCTTGACGAGGATTGCGTTTGTGGAGAATGTGGCGTAGTGGTCATGTCCTATTATATCTTAATGTGTACTATGTATGCGTCTATTAATATCTGTATCTATATCTACATTATATTTATATCTATATCTTCATTTATATCTGTATCTATATCTACATTTATATCTGTATCTATATCTTCATTCACATCTGTATCTATATCTATATCAGTATTCACATATAAATTTAATACCTATATACTTATATCCCACAAATAAAGTGGCATGGAAGTCTTCGCTTTTCCCCCGTTTTCTGGGTCCGACAAAATGTCATTATACTAGGGGAACAAACAAAAGGTTGATGTGGAATGTTTTGGTAGGAAGTATTTCATGAGGCAATGGTCTACAGAGAATATGAACTTGGTTAATGAGTACGAGTGGGAAAAAAAAGGAAAGACAGTTACGTTTTCGTGGTTTTGTCTCTGGTTTTGCGTGTGGTGTATTTTATTCGTGATCGAGTTTGCTGGATGAGACATTGCATGTTTGATTGTGATTTGGGTGATATGACTAGGGGTTCTTTGAATTGAAATTGGGGAAAGGTGGCGTTGATAGATGGAGATGGGGTAGAGTAATTCTTGTAGAAAAGGAAAGAAGAAACTGAATACGACGAATACAGTAAATGACTTAGTAAGCATGGTTGGGGGGAAGGGTACAATAACAAACACCTCGAATGAGTAATCGACACAGGGATAAAAACATGTGAATTTCATATTGTTCACTTGGTTCGCTAAGTAGGAATAATACATGACTCGGGCCAAGGATTCTAAGCATTTACTTGTACTTCACACGATGCTCCCAGGACACTGACTGTATTTGAATCAACAAGACGGTCTCTGATCATCTAATTGTGTTGAAACGTGAGGGTATTTGAAACATGTAGAGGGAAGACATGCTATCAGGTAGTTTGAACATGTGATTGCTTTGCGCAGTTGCTAGACAAGATCTGAAGAACGTTGTGGACGGCATGATGCCTACCTTTGTGACATTTATGGCATGTGTTGTGTGGATGGATGCTGTGATGCTGTAATGCTGCTCTAGTACAGATGTGGAATATGAATTTCACCGCCCTTGGTCTTGCACACGACGGCCCATCATCTACATGTGATGGCGTCTTGATGCGTCTATAAACTACGTGACCGCTATTTCGGTTGCAAAGTTGCTGGCTCGGTTGAAGGTGAAGCGGTGAGAGAATGACTAGACAGGTGTCTCAGCGACTGAGGCGTCTGAGTGAAGCAGTTGACCTTTGTCCAAACGGGCGTAGGGAGACGAGGTAAAGTCAAATCGCAGGTATCCAGCCTTGACATTGGGTTGGGTAGAGTATGTGGCGTTGGGGCCCAAGAGGTGTAGCAAGAAGTTTGTCAGCATGGCCAACAGAATTCTGATCGACGTGGAATAATAGAGTTAACGTTGTCGTGACAGCCGACCCGTTGTCACGGGCTTCAACGCTAAGCGCTAGAGCTAAGCGAGATGACATAAGCAGACAAGATAAAAACCCTTCCATCCTCGTCCTCCCTTCTCTTTTCCTCATACTTACCTTCTTGCGACTCAGTGAGCTCAAGCATTCACTGGTCTAATGCTCTCGCCTGCATTGCACAGCGCGGCGTGGGATCATTACGAGCTTCCTTCGGGAATCTCGGCGGGGCAATTTTTGTTGGACTGCCACACTTGTGTGTTTTGGTGTGTGTGTGTGTGTGTGTGCGCGCGCTTTTTCATTGATTCTTCTGCCAAGCTGGTGCAGTTGATTGAGGAAGGAGAAATGAGGGTTGCGTTTGGATGAGTTGGCATTGTTCACCTGTCATGGCTCGTTTGCTATTGTCGCACAAGATGGTTGCAGAGGGTTTGCATGAATGGTTGGTTCAAGTGTTTGTGCTGCTGCAGAGCTGGCTCCATTGAAAGCTGATCAGCATACACGACATCGAGTTAATGGTGGACAGCGGTCACAGGGGAAATGTTTGCAACAATCCAATCTCTCGGCGGTTGCTTCCAAGCATGTCACCTTGTTACGCTGTGTTGTACGAGAGTCGCCATGTCTCGCAACTGTGGCTCAGGGGAAAGAAGCGCCATGGTGCAAAACAGAAGCAGGCAGTCCTTGTCACGTAACGCACATGGACTGGGTAGCTGCGCCGTTGAGTCCGCTGGCGGCCGCGAGACGACACTGTTGACACTGTTGGCACTGTTGGCGGCGGCAATCATGTCATCAACCATGGCGTCACACGTGCTCTGCGCACCACCAGCGCTGCTGTATGCCGTAATCACCAATTTCTTACAAGAAAAGGAGGTCAGCATTTACTTGATCGCCAACGCCAAATAGTCGACACCAAGGTTTTTTCTAGCCCACGTCGTATGCTTACGCGGATAGAGTTTGTCATTCGAGCGCAATGAATCCGAACATTCACCGCATCGCAACCTGCGAGGAGACGGAGAGCCATCCGATGATCAGCTCTGGGTGTCCTGTATCACATGAGCTGCTCGTGCCTCTGGGGTACAGTGCTGCTGCTTTGTGGCGCACAAACGAGCTGGGATATACAGGACGCGAATGTCACGAGATCACAGACCGCCAAGCCAGCATTCACGAGAGAGTTTACGCACACCGATACTCCCCGCCTGAGGCTGAGCTTAGACCCTCCCCGTTTCCTGTCCACCTTGTCTCAACTAGGCACTGCGACGGTGCGAGCCAGGAAATGGTAGGGGGGCCAACCGTAGCTACGGCGCGGATCATGGACGCCCGGAACTCAATGTACAGCTATTAGGTTCGTTTAGGAAATGCCCTGTGCGGGATCTACCGGCCGGTGAGATTCCATCTCACCACAATTAGACCTCACTACGACGAAAAGGACGGAAAGGACGCAGCCCTATGAGTCGTGCTAGAAGACTGGCCTTGGTTGACGATCAATGGAGCAATCATGGGAAGCTACGATGCAAAGGGTAGTTTTCCAGACAAGACACCCACAGTATTGTCGCCGCAACAAGTATTCTGCAGCTACAACTAATGAGTGTTATTTCTCCAGTACCATCAGTTGGTCGATCAACATATCACGAATACCGAATAACGTAGATTTTCGGCGGTGTGGATATAGCACCGACATCAATTTTAAAGCTGACTGTAAAGAAGCTAGCCTTACCAATCGGGTTACAATCTGTCGTCGCTCACCTCGCAAACCCTGGCCCGGATAGGAGTTGTAGGTCTCAAGCAGTGGGACGATTGACCGTTTTCAGGCACCAGCAAGGGCCCAAATCTCTTGGAAGACGAACTAAGTTCCAACGGCCTTCTGGATGCAACGATCCAGAAGCACAAGGGATCAACGTCGAGGGGGGTACATGCCAGCTCACACACGAGCAACATCAAGTATATAAGTCGTGCTGGATACCCCCCAAAGAACTCATCATCAGCATCTCACTCTTTCACTACTACATTACTATAATCCTCCTTTACCAACCTACTTCACTCGTTAATTAGCTTTCAGCTTCTCCACCAAAACAACCAGCCATCAAAATGCAGTTCTCCATCATCGCTCTTCTCTCCATCGCCTCTGTCGCTGTCGCCAGCCCGACCAGTCTCAAGGCCCGCACCCAGCAGCAGGCAGTCAATGGCTGCGCTAACCAGGCTAGTGCTGCTTGCTGCATCACGGATAACAATGCTACAGGCGGCAACACGGCCACTGGACAAGGAAACGTGCTAAGCGGCATAACCAACCTCATCAACCTTCCGAACCTTGGCCTTACCTGCAACTCCATCAACTTGAATCTTTGTAAGCATCCCGTTTCTCCATCTTGGGTGTCACAACAATGCTAATCCCTAAATCAGTGTCCTCCGGCTCTAACAGCGGCGTTGACTGCCCCGCCACCCACCAACTCTGCTGTGAAAAGGACGAGTCGGTAAGTTGCTCACGAATCCTCAAAACATGCATCTCCATTACATCATCTAACATCTCCCATAGGGCAAGGCCAACGCCGACAGCTGCGTCAAACCAACCCACTAAACGCATTCATATCCATGCACTCCTTCCGAAGCGATGCCCTCACGAGCGGGTCAAGGCGGTGGTGTGTGAATATAATGCATTTTGCTTTCTTCATTTTAATGAGCGGGCCGTCATTCTCCCCTCAATCATCCTGTTCTTTTTTCGCCGAACATTTTGATTTCTCGTCAAGCGAGTAATGACCCTGCGGTTCAAGTTTTTGTAGTGTAATGTAGTTAATGGGTGAGCGTGCGGGAGGATTTTCAGGCACCATGACAATAGAATCACTGATGATCCTCCATTGTTCCACTCTTGCTTTGTGCTGGCTTGCTTTTTGCTGAATTGCTGAATTGTAGGTTGTCTTGGTCGTTGTGCAGCGCTCTTTGGGCACTGATTGGGTGGGTTGGCGCGGTTTCATGCTACCTCTCCTGATTCTTTGTGGGTCGGTAAGTATGTTGATCTGCAGGGAGACATGCGCGGCATTCCGAACTGACCATGATCTAGACTTTTGTCATCTATTGTTGTACAACAGCCAAGTCGTTGCTCTCCCGGCTTCCCCGACACTACTCACCCTTCACATCACACCACATCACACACAGCATAAAAGACATAAAAGACATGACCGCCTTCCCCGCTAGTAATCCAACGCCTCCCCCACCATCCTCCGCTGATACTTCTGCACCACCTCCTGGCACCTAACCAGCACCGCAGCCGCCAACCCCCTTACCCGCTCCTCCTCACCACTCCCAGCCGCCAGCCCGTCAAACAGCATCTTGACCCAAGCCTGCGTCTCCAATACCTCTTTGCCCTGCTCCGTCGCCAGCCGCGCATGATCCGCATTCGTCTCGAGCAGCATGAGAAAGCCAAAGAGCAGTGCAGCCAAGACATTGGTATCCGTGGCGGCGCGGCCGCGCAGCGACAGCAGGAGATCCCAGTACTCGCGGGACATTTGGGGGAGGGCGAGGGTGTTGGGGCCCGCGGCGTGGAGGAGGATGGAAAGGGTGTGTAGGAAGGGCGGGAGGAGATGAGAGGATGTGTAGATGGAGTCTGTGTTTGCACGGCTGTGTAGCCACCAGCGGCCGGTGAGGGGGAAGAAGAAGTCGTCTGCGACGATTTGGGCGAGCGCGTTGGGAATCGGTTTGCTTCGCTTCTGCTCGACTTGCATGCGTGAGGAGAAGGTGTGGACTTTGAGGATGTTGGGGCCTGTAAGTTGGTCGGCGGCTTGGGAGGCGAGCGGGGAGAGCATTTGGCGGGCCATGGTGCTGGAGAGTTTGGCAAGTGGCGAGGCGGGCTGGTCGGAGGTGTAGATGGCGTGGAGGTGTGGTGGTAATTGTTTGCTTGGAAAGGATGACTGTGTGGGTATGAGGTCGTCGGTCGACGAGTCTTTTATGCCGGCAAGTTCGCGCGCCCCGAGACCGAGAGTGGTGAGCATGGCGATGCGCTGGGTGAGACTGTAATCGCCTGAGAAGAAAGATCTGGCGAACCATTGCGCCATTTCTGCAGGTTTGGCGAGCAGCACTGCGATCAGAGCCTGTTGTCTCTGTTGCGCAAACTCATCGAGTTCAGAGTTATCTTGCAGCCCTGTGAGAATGGTCGCAAGCTCTTCGAGGTGGTCAGTCACCTCTGTGCCGAAGTTGGCTTTGCGTCTGATCAGGGAGGCAGCCGTAGATAAGGCGAGTTTGTGTCTGTCGTAGTCCTCTTGGTCGCGCAAGCCTGCGATTAGGTCGCGAATATATACTGGTGCTGTTGGTTTGTTGCGGTTGACTGCAGTGGGATCGTCAGTGTCATCTTCTGGGTCCGAGTCTGGCTTTTCGTATGCTAGGAGGTCATCATCCTCTTCTTCGTCGTCTGATAGGATTTCGATTACTCGTGGGCCTTGGGTGGTTGCAAACTCAGATGCTTTGAGAGCAGGCCTGGCCTTGGTCCGTGGTGTACTACTGTTAGGTACGACGATATTGCTCCCGGAAGCAAGGTCTTGTATACTTCCAACTCGGTCGTTGATCTTGGTGAGTTGTTGGTACCAGTTCGACTCTTCCAGTTCAGCCCCTTCAAGCTCAAACTTCAATTGAAGCTCTGGCTTGTCAACCATGTTCGAGATCGCAATTCCAACAGCCATTCCCAGAAAGCGAGCACGAGCAGATGCTGCACCAATACGGTTCGACATGCCATTTACGTGATAAGTGGACTTCACCATCATGGTAAGGAACATGGGTTGTGTCCGATGGACGTAACCAGCAGAAACAACCAGGGTTTGGGCCAAAGCTACGACGTGTCAGCGTAATCTTTATTCCCGAGAAAGGTGATGTACCTTCTTGCTGTATAATTGGAGTATGCTTGATGTAGATGGAGTCTCCAAAAAGCTTGATGGCGTTTTCAAGTAGTGTATGCAGCTTTTCTGTGAGGTCACTATTAGCCTTAGTGCAGTCATTGTAATGTGACTTTCTCACCATCATTCCTGGAAATGACAGCAATGACACTTCTCCGGGCAGCTACTGAGTCATCCAGAGATGGTATAGTTGATCGAATCAGTGTGGATACGAGGTGATCTTTGAGGGCGTCATTGTTTTCGGTGAGTTGCATGATCAAGCCAGCAGCTCCGGATATCCGTTTGGAGCTAGTGACAGCTACATCAATCTTGCTAACAGACTCCTTCGAAAGATGATCATGTACGATGAACGCTATTGTGGCGTTGAGAAACTTCCGCTGTTCGAAGCTTTTCATCTTTGAAAGCACTCCTGTAAATCGTTCAATGCTGCTATCCCTGATGAGCATTGAAAAGATGGACTTGACAATTTGATCTAGCTGGTTAGTTTTCAATCATAATAGTATGTGGCTAACTCACCTGTATAACCCAGTCCCAATAGCTTCGTACAAAACTCCACGCTCGCAGTTACATGCTCATCGCTTGTTTCCTCGCTTGTAATGAGTTCTACCGCGTTACGTCCCAGCCACACAGCGTACTCTTTGCCATCTGCGACCCAATTTGGCGCCCTTGATACTCCGCCAGTATTTAGCACATCCTCTGCTTCGGCTGTCAGGGAAAGAAGTCGCCCTGAAGCTGTTTGTGCAAGATACTCTTTCCATATGAGATTCTTCTGGATGGAGTTTTTGCCATAGGCTAGTATGTCTCTCAGGACTATTCTGGATGTATCTTGCCCATGAAGAATGCGATCAATAACGTCGAGAGTATCTTCAATGTGCTCGAGCGTGTTGCGTGCGCCACCTGGCGCCTTTTTCTCTCGACTATCGGCGATCAACGTACGAAGCCTGGTGATGACATGTCCAAGCCCAGTGGGATTTCGGAGAACTTGGGCAATCAGTTTTGATTCCGGTGCTCCTTTGAGAACTCGCCAGTAGTTTGGTACTGTGTCATTTACAAGTTGGTGTGCAATACTCGCGCTTGATGGATCAGGAAGTATGAGGTTGAACCCGTGGCTGTTCAGATATCGCAAGACATTAACAACGGTACGGCGACTAGGTTGGCTTTTCAGGGCTTCCAGTGCTGACTCGACAGATTTAATCGTGACTTCATCGCTGGTGTTTCGAGTTTCAATCTCTTGAACAAGACTTTTGGAAGTCGTGGTCCTCTTACTCGATACTGCCGTCAAAAAGTCGGCCATAATGTGTATCTTTTTCACACAAAGTTGGTTGCGTCTAGGTAATATTAGCTTCATTCGACAGGTCTGGTTACTGGTCTGTGTGTACCGGTAGGTACCTAGGTACACTTGGAATGTGAAGATGCAACGATGGCTATTGTGGTGAAGCTAGTAACACCATCACTCACACATTTGAAGGAATCTGTATCAAGGCGAGTACTACCTGTTATTATGAGGCGCCTGCGTATTTCTGATCAGTCCCAAGATTTGCCTTGTCGATGGGTAAGGCAGCTCGAATGATCGGCAATTCCTTCCCCATCTGCAGTCTACACCCTAGCGCCTTGGCAGACATACCCACTAGGACGCCTACAACAGTCGTTTGCTCGACTTGACTTCTTCCACTGTATTTCGTATACATCAAAATTAAATGGCAGTCAACATCGATACCGTTCGTGATGCCTCGGCTGCTCTCCCGCGGGCGCGATGGTGGGTCTGGTGAACCATCGATTGTGTTGTCAGCCAAGGCTAATACACACTTGTAGGAAGCATTTAGACAAGTTCTTGACGCGAACGGGCCCTTTTACAGATGAAGATACTTTTCAGGTTGGCGATAGGGTAATTGAGTGGCTAGGTGATATCAAAGTCCTGTAAGGAAGTTCTTTTACATACACGAGACTCTCAGCTAACAACGTATAGCGTCATGTGAGTTCCACTACTCCGCAACATCGACTGCAGCAAATTACACGAGTACAAGCTGACGTCTACAATAGCGGAGCAGGTGGTCTAGGATGTGAGATCCTCAAAAACCTTGCCCTGTCTGGCTTCAAGGATATCCATGTCATCGACATGGACACCATCGACGTCAGCAATCTAAATCGCCAGTTCCTCTTCCGCCAAGCAGATGTAGGCAAGTTTAAAGCCGAAACCGCCGCGGCATTTGTCGAGAAGCGCGTAAAAGGTGTCAAGATCACACCGTACTGCGGTAAGATTCAGGACAAAGATGAAGCATACTACATGCAATTTGCCCTTATCGTGTGCGGTCTAGATTCCATCGAAGCACGGCGATGGATCAACGCAACCCTGATTGGCATGGTGGACGAGAACAACCCAGACTCGATGAAGCCGTTGATTGATGGTGGAACTGAAGGCTTCAAAGGCCAAGCACGTGTCATCTTCCCGACGATGACTTCATGTATAGAATGTCAGTTGGATATGCACGCTCCACGCGCCGCTGTACCGCTCTGCACACTTGCTACCATACCCCGCCAACCGCAACATTGCATCGAGTGGGCGCACATCATCGCCTGGGAAGAAGAGCGCAAGGACATAACTCTTGATAACGACGACCCCGAGCACATCACCTGGCTGTACCAAAAGGCTCTGGCCCGCGCCAAGGAGTTCAACATCGAGGGCGTCACGTACAGCATGACACAAGGTGTAGTCAAGAACATCATCCCCGCCATTGCAAGCACAAACGCCATTGTCGCGGCCAGCTGCTGCAACGAAGCCTTCAAGATCGCAACCAATGCCAATCCCTTTCTCGGCTTTCCCGAAACGGATAATTACATGATGTACACGGGCGACGAATCCGTGTACACGTATACTTTTGAGCACCAGAAGAAAGACGACTGTCCTGTTTGCGGGGCGGGCAACATTGCGCGTCCGCTTACCGTGAATCCCAACACGACGCTACAGGACTTTATTGATGGCCTGGCGGAGAGACCAGAGGCGTATGTTGTGACCCTTATCTATGGTTATTATTCTTGGGAGCGTTGGCATGCTAATGTGTTATTAGGCAACTCAAGAAGCCTTCGATCCGCACTGGCGAGAAGTCGTTGTATATGCAGCTGGCTGGCCTGGAAGAACAGACACGGCCCAATCTGGAGAAGAAGATGAGAGATTTGGTCGAAGAAGGCGAGGAGCTGCTCATTACGGACAAGAGTTTTCCGACGCAGTTCAAGTACAAGGTCATTTATTCAAAGTGAGCTTGTTCACAGAGGCATGGATTTGAATTGCGGGAGTTGTTGAAGTGGATGCATCATCGAGGAATTCTCTGTACGAACAGACAGGAATTGAAGTCTTTTGGCCGAAGAAGTGATGAGATATTCTACGCAATCCGCTGGAAGCATCACTATGCCCAAAGGTTCCATAGCATGATGCTAATAAATGGGAAATCTAGAATGTAACATGCCACCCCTCTGTGACCCAAGCGCCGCGAAATGTACCCGACTCTTCCAGTATTGCCTCCACCCTTGACGCCTTGGCCTATTCCAAATATTTTCACAGATCAGCGCCTAAACCAGCTCGAAATCATACCACCGGCCAGATTTCTTGCAAGCCCAGAGCCGTACATTGCATTCGAGGCAAAGCCAGTCGCCTGGCTAAACTTGTCGCATCTCGAGAATGCAAGGGTATTCGTAATCGTGAGGACAAGCGCAATGACTATTAACGATTATCAGCTCAAAAACCTTGCTCTGGCCTTTTCTCCCTCCTCCTCGCGCTATTCCGGAATCCAGAGGTTTTGTTTTGAAAAAGGGATGTACTCACCAACAAGCGTCAACCAAATAAATTGCAAACTAACCAACGCCACCACGGCCAGTACAATCCACAGCACGGGTTGCGCATACAACGCCAGCCAGAAAAACCGCTTATCCGTCGCATTCACATCGCGTGTCTCTGGATCCGCGCTCTCGAACACCCAGCGCCCGTCGCCTGTCTGGCTATCCACCTCGTTCCACCAGCGGAGGCCGACGAGGCGTCGCCCTGCGATATTTTTCAGGTAGTAGAAATCCATTGCGAGGAGGAGAATCGTGATGATGAAGATGAGGACGAAGTTGGAGGTGAGGAGGCGCAGGCCGAGGAGGTAGACGAGTAGGGATGCTGGATTAGGAAAAAAGTGGCGTTAGCCATTGTGATATCGAAGTTGTGTATGGATGACATTGGAGAGGTTAGAGTTTCCTCCTTCTCTTCCTCAATGGGTAAACATGTACTAGGAGAGAGAGCCGGGAGAACCCCGGCTGGTGGGTGAGGGACGTACATATGCGGAAGAAGAGAAAGGTAAGAAGGGTAATGGGATGGCTGCTTAGCCGCCAGCTCAGCGACCCAGGCTGGGGGGCTTGCTGTGCGGTCTCCATGATGCAGGGCGGTGGTTGTTTGATGACATTTGAAGTCGTGGCTTGATGTCAGCAAGGGAACGCGTTGCGGCGGATCGGCGAGTCGGCGTTTGGGTTGGAGCTATCCCGGAGCTCTCTTCCCCGCACGTCATAGGGCTAACCGCTTATGTAACCATGCATAGGCTATGTGACGCGCCGAGGTGGGTGAAGGACTGAAGCCGACTTGGGGCCTCGTCTCCTCTCGTGTCGCCATTGAGATAAAGATACAATTCTCTTGTCTTGTCGTTCTGGCCTCAAGGGGTTCGCTATGCAGATATCAGGCATTGGCCAACAGTAAACATCATGGCAGCGCCAATCATCCGTCGGGCGTGCATGTACGGTAAACATACTCTGACTTCAACTATTCAATACTCCCGCATACTTGCATCGAGTATCCTTCCAGGCCAGCAGAGGAGACAGGCTGATGATGCTACCATGCAGTCCCGTCCTCATCCAAGAAGATGCTCGAGAAATCCCTCACCCTCCAAGCCGACAACGTAACCTACGACCTTGAAGACTCCGTCGCCCCACACTTGAAATCCGAAGCACGATCGAATCTGCGCTCCATCCTCTCACAGCCACGGCCTCCCTCGATAAAGGAAAGGTGTGTGCGAATCAACAGCGTCGACACAGGTCTTGCGCTCGCCGACCTCACTGAAGTCCTCAAGGGTGAATACCTCGACGCCATCATGCTGCCCAAATGCGAGAGTGCTGCAGATCTCCATTTCGTCACCGACGTGATTCGACATTTGAGTCCAGAGCGGCATCCTAGTACCTCTTCAAATTCCCACGAACAACCAGCTAAAGAACCCCTAAGAATAATCGCCCTCATCGAATCCGCAAAAGCCATCCTCAACCTCCCCGAGATCTGCTCTGCCTCACCCTACCTCTCCGGCCTCGTCTTCGCAGCAGAAGACTTTGCCAAAGACATGTCTATTACGCGCACGCCCTCGCTCACGGAATTCCTCTATGCAAGAAGCGCCATTGCGACGGCGGCGCGCGCGGCTGAGCTCCCGAGTACAATCGATCTCGTCTGTACAAGCTACAAGGGGGAGGCAGGCCTAAAGACGCTCAAAGACGAATGTCTGAATGGAAAAGGCATGGGCTATAATGGGAAACAGTGCATCCACCCTAGCCAGGTGGCGGTGTGCCATGAAGCGTTTAGTCCTGGGGACCAGGAGGTAGAGTGGGCAGTTAGGGTGGTAATTGCAGATGAGAAGGCGAGTGAGATGGGGAGAGGGGCATGGACACTGGACGGCAAGATGATTGATGTGCCTGTTGTCAAGAAGGCCGCTGCTGTGCTGCGACATGCAGAGGTTTGTGGCATAGATGTTGGCGCTGTGAGGGAGAGGTGGAGGGAGCAGGAGCCCGAATAGAGATGGATCGACATATACTGTATCTCTCCCTCTTTGGTTACCAGGGTGTCTATGAGTGCCCATATTTCAAAGCTATCGCCCGTCAGAACTTAGAGTCAACTCTGAACCAGGAGAACTATGATGGAACCGCTGATGTTCGGGTGTCACCTTGCTGAACTGGAATTACACGTCGTGAGAGCGGGAAAGGCATTCAAAGGCTATATAGGATGAAGCTAAATGATTTCGAGAGAAATGCCGACGATCGATCTCGTCATGATAACTAAATAGAACGCACCGGCACTACCCTACCGAGTTAGTCCACCTCCGCCTTCCCCACTGCTCTTTCTAATAAACTTTGGGCATACCGTTTCCTGATCTCACAAAATCTGCCCCAATTCGCTGCAATTCTTTGGCATTACAAGTTTCCCTTGTTCTAGCACATCTGTCCATCTCGCATCTTGTGACGGCAAATACGCAGTCGTTGTACTTGAAACTTTAGTTCATCAGGAATTGCTCGCATGGTGGCGACGGGAGGCGGAGCAGATCTGCCATCAAAGGAACGCAAGGAGGTGAATGGATCGAAGCAGAAGGAACTCGTCCTATGCGCATTACCATGGCCCCAGGAAGGTGCCCAGAGAGCCATCAAGGCGTTGAAAGACACATTCGATGATGTTGACGTGGAATACTTCCAACGTACGGACAACACCGAAATACCTGCAGGTACGTACGGTATGGAGTCGCAGATTTGTCGTACAAAGCTTTCCGAAGTCTTGGTCGCCGGTGTCAGCACCGTCATTGTAGGTCGCTTAGCAGGCCGCTCACACCATGCTACATGCGACGATATGAGGAGCTGAATATCTAATCTGGTATACACATCAACGACTGACCACATTGCAGACCTCCTCACCCGTGCATCATACCTCGCCACGCTTTTCTGGCTTCCATCTCAGCCTTCCGACCTTCCCAACACCCAATTCATTCAATTCTTCTCTGCCGGAACTAATCACGTAGCCCAACACCCAATCTATACCGAGTCCAAGATCCCACTATGTTCGGCCAATGGCGTACACGGGCCGCAGATTGCGGAATGGGTGATTATGATGGATCTCGTACACAGTCACAACTATACGAAGTTGTACGGGTTGCAGCAGAAAAGAGAATGGAAACCAAGTGCGGGCATGAACGTGAGTGATCGCGTAGGGAAAAGAGTGGGAATTTTGGGTTATGGAAGTATTGGACGACAAGGCAAGTACCGACTCTTTTTGCAAAACTCTTCCATTGGTCTTGATGTTACGAATGTCTCGCAATGCCAAAATGGCCGCATCCCAGGTCTACCGGTGGAGGTAGCCTGTAAATACTCGGCTTTGTATACGATCCGCCACCAACCTTTATCAATGCATCCCCGGAGTTACACTGCATACGACCCGCGAGGCGGTTTCCAACAACCCGGTTGACTACTCTGAGCAGTTGCTGACCAGAGCTCAATGCAGTGGCCCGCGTTGCCAAAGCGATGGCCATGGACATCATCGCCTACACAGCCTCGCCGCGCAAGACACCAGAGTCCAAACACGACAATGGGTACATCGTACCCGGCACTGGTGATCCCAAGGGTGAGCTGCCAAGTGAATGGTATAGTGGCACAACCCGAGAAGACGTGCATGAGTTCCTGAAGCAGGAAATCGACCTGTTGGTTATTGCTGTGCCATTGACGTACGTAACCTACCCGCTACACACAATGCTCCGCTGAGACATGGGCGAAGAGGAAGGGAAAATGCTAACGATGACTGTGTATAGCGAAAAAACCAGACACGTTCTCTCCACGCCTGAATTCGAACTCCTCCACAAGTCCAACCCCCGAGGAACTTATGTTGCCAACATTGCGCGCGGCCCGATCATCGACCAAAAAGCCCTCGTTGATGCGTTGGAAAAGGGACTTATCAAAGGCGCGGCGCTCGATGTAACGGATCCTGAGCCGCTGCCTGCAGATGATCCGCTATGGACTGCGCCGAATGTTCTGATTACACCGCATATCAGCGGATCATCGGATGTGTATGCAGATAGGGGGTTTCAGTTGCTCATTGAGCAAATCAAGAGGAAGAGGAGTGGGAAGAAGCTGATAAACGAGGTCAATCGTGAGAGGGGATATTGAGTTGAGTCAAGTGTACAACACTAGGATGTGAAAGTGTGGACACGCCAGAGATGGGAGTCCTACGATAATTAGGCAATCCGATGGGATGAGCTTTAATACCATCGCACGATACAACACATGGATCCGACGATCGTTTCGTCTGGTGGCAGGGGAATCTTGCTCAGGAGAAACTCAACATGCAGCATACTACTCAGGTGTAAAACTTTTGTCTACGCGAGGTTGCATGACACAGGCGTCCTACGCGACCCACAGGACCAGCACAGCATCACAAATTCATACTCATCTCCTCGACAAAAACCCAGGGAAAAAGCAAGAGCTCAACCTATCTATGAAGCCATCTATGTGGCTAGCAACATCACCTGAATCCCAGCATGACGGGCTTTTAAGGCTCCGACCCAGGCCTCTTCGCGTAAACAATCAGCAGAGAATAGCAAACAAGGTGCGATTGAGCATCTCGGACCGACTCTGTACCCGACGTATTACCTACCGGTAGGTACTGTATGCACATGTACACTTGATGGATCAAACTCCCTATATAGTACCCTACCTACTACCACGCTCCCAAGCGCAATTTGCTGATCCCGTTTTCGTTCCCGACCTGGCCTGGCCCGGCTCGCGCGTCAACGCTGATCGCCGACATGATGCGCGCCATCGACCTTGCTTGGAACATTCGTCCTTCCAGCTCCCCCCTACCTATAACACCTTCCTACTATTGGTAGGCATGATGGTACAATATTGTACCTACGCCCACACGGGTCCGCTTCGCTTGCAACGGACAACAACGCCGGTCACGATGCCGGGCCGTTGGGTACGCGACGGGCTGGATTTGGGGACCGGGTGGGCCGTCGTGTGCTGTAATGGGTAGTATAAAAGGCGTGGTATAGGTGGATGTGGTAGGCTGGTGTCCCACGCATCATCGGGCAGTTTGTTCCGCGGGATGCAAGAGGCCCTGGTCTGGCTTGTGCTGGGTCTTTTTTACCTTGTGTCGTTGCGTGAATATTGGATCGGTGCGTGTTTGTTGAATGGTGTGGGTGTCATGTTGCTGATGGGGAGCCGTGAGGTTATAGCTGGGTGTGATGAGGGAGGCGATGGGCATGACTACAGTGTCGTGATACCTGCCTACTGTGTACGCAGGCACAGGTTACGAACATACGTTCAGGTACTCTATCCCGTACCCATACGGCTCCATTAGCACACATGCCATATCCTCATCTCCCCTCCCTTTCAGAACCAGGCCATTTACCCGCCCTTGTCCGCGGCCCAGGAACCACCAGGCCCCGACACCGGTCTCGTCTCTGTATGCTACCTACTCTAGACTCCATCGCTGCACTCGTCCTGTTTAGCCTAGAGTAGCGACCACGCGTCTACCCTATCCAACTGTGCCTTGCAGTTGCTGTCTCGCATCACAACAACCTCGACTGTGCCTTGCAGTTGCTGTCTCGCATCACAACAACCTCGAGGCAGGGCAGGATTACCCGGCACCGCGGCAGGAAAATGCCAGCCTACCGTATACAGCACATGGTTCGCGACAAGCGGCCATTGCTACTCTTCCCGCTGCTGGAAACGCCGTGTTCTTGGGACGCGGGTTCTTTTTTTTCTTCTTTTTTCCCTTCTCGTTGGGTTGGGGTGCTGAGGGGATGGCGAGCCCGCGGGTTTGGGCTGTAGGTGCCGTACCGGTAAGCCTGTGGCTACCGTCGCGAAGTCTGAAGAAGGGAGAGGCTGGATGCATGGGCTGGGTAGAGGGTAGATACATATCGGTACACAAGACACATCTCCACACGCATGTCTAGCCCTAGGTACCATGATGCATACATGCCCGCCGACACGCAGGGCCAAGCACACATAGGGAGAGACACGGGCATGCAAGTCCATACCATACCGGTACCTACAGCACCTACCTACCCGATTCCTCCCTGCGCTGCGACTCTCACAGCACCAACCCATCCTTCACCCCCAACCTCACCCATACTTGCACATCCTACACACGACCTGCCATGCCCGCCCAGCACCCATCCGCTCGTGAAAGCGTCCAGCCCCCCTTTCCCACCCCCACTCAGCCGTTCCCAGCAGAATTCCAAACGCAGACACTTCTCCTGTCAGCACGGCAGAATAGGTAAAACGTGAGGCAGCAGCGTACAGTAGCTGGATAGGTACTCAGCTACCCTACCCTACCCTACCTTACCAACCCATTGGTCACAGTACCGATACGTACCGGTACGATATCCCAAGCTCTACCTACTCGTCCGGACCTCGCCCTCCCCAAACGGCATAATCCCGCACCCACCTGTCCCACCCACCCCCATCTTGACGAGAATTCCTCCACGCCGAGGATTTTTGCGCTTGACGCAGGGGGAGGGTGGGGAGAAAGGGGGGGGGGGGGGCAAGCCTCCGAAGCTGGAATTGTTTGGGGAGGAGGGGTGAGGAAGAGGGAATTGGGAATTGCGAGTTGGGAATTGCGAGTTGGGACTCGTGTTGGTTGTGTAGTTTGAATGTTGCAATGCGATTACACGCATGTCTTTGCAAATTGCGCCATGATGGCATCGTTGGTACCGAGAGGAGAGTAGATGGAATCCATCACAATGGGTAGTCATATATCTAGATCCCCAACTTATGCCTATTTCTCCAACTTCAAATCCTACATCTAATCTTCCCAACGAACCATCCCAACAGCAAATAAAAAAGGGTATACACAAACAACATCCACGCGCTCACAACGATTACGGATTACGTACAACTGACCTTGCATCCCACATACTGTGAACCCCTCAGCTACGTTTCACGAATCCTCCATTCACGCCGAGGTGGCATAGCATAGTTTGCGCAAATTACAAGTTTCGAAAAAATGTTTCCATCCAAACGGTACTGAATACTTCTTCTTTAGGGAACGATTGACCAAGACAGCTGAGAATTCTGTTTTCTTCGTGGCTAGGGAAACAGGTCTTGGAAAGATTGGGTTGGGCTGGCTCTTTCATACCGAGGAGATGGCTGCGTCTGTCCTCAACCCTATCATGGTTTCCTTGCGGACTGCGTTCTCCCACTCCAGCACTTTGCCTAGTTGCATATCAACCATCTCATGATTCTGGGCCATGGCAGTGTCTCAAAGATCATGTATGACAATGCAGTCAGACTCCCACTCATGAAAGTAGGGTGCTTATATGCGCAAGCGCAAAACGGATTCGAATGGCCGCCACGACATTCCCAGCGGTCATAAAGGTCGCATGTGATCGGTGTCGAAGAGGACTCTTGCCAAAAATTTGTGGTCGTGTGGGGTAAGGCATACGGTATAGATGGCATGCACTATAGGAGGCTGTTTGGTGGGTATTTATCCAAGAATTCCCAAGAGTGTGGTTACTTTGTCACGGAGTTTACAGACGCATCCAGTCACACAGCGTCAATCGTTGGCCCGACCTGGTCGGACGAAGGAGCTGGGATTCACATGGCAAGCGAGGTCGGCGACCAGCGATATCGGTTGCAGGCTGTAAGTGACTATGCATTGTGACATTTGGATGCAATATACCAGGTCCAGTCGCAGTGAGCGAGGACTCGATCATCAGGAAAATTGAATTGGTGGAAGAGAGCGATTTCGAGGGGAATTAAGTGTGCATTTTCATTGAGGTTCATATTTTTGCGTCGTAACCCGGAGGATGTAGGCCCAGTCCTCCTCGTGCATGCGACGATCTCGGATCCCATTCTACATTATTAACTCCAGCTCGCGATTGTGGTCGCGGCGTGGAGAAGCTTAGAGTTGGACTGCGGTAAGCCCGCTCCGTCTGCATCGACTCCTTCGCAAGATAATCCGGTGTGTCTGCACGGGGCGTTGTAGCTATGGCCGCGTAGCTGGCAAGGCCAGGGCTATAGGCATTCATCGGTTGTTGCAATTCGAATTTCTTCAGCTCAAGGTCTCCGGCATTCTTCTTTGCGTCCAAAGACACGAATTCGCGATTCTTGCTGAACTTTGCTTTGAAATAGTCGATCCATCCTGTGATCATGGTCCACCGAACAAGCAAAATGAAGCACTGCAGTCCAGCGACCTAGAGACATGTTAGCATAATGAACGGTGACAGCCGGAAGACGTCCTACCGAGAGCATCATCAGGATGGCGACGACCGTGGACTCGTCAACAGATAGCTCCTGACCAAGCGAATAACATGGTGCCGGATCGTTGGGGTTTTTGAGCAGACAGCCGACAAATGGTCTGAGGTCCTCCATATCCTCTGTAGCATGCGATGTGATGTCGTTGAGCCAGATGAATACAATGGAGAGGAACACGACATCGACAAGAATAAATACCACAATCGTGATTCCTCTCCATTGCAGCCAAAGGACCTTGCGAACACGTCGATACACAGCGCGCGCCGAGCGAGTTCGCGTACTGTTGGTGTAGGATGGTAGCCCGGCACTGCTTTGAGTCTCCGTGCCTTCGTCGCTGAACATGTTCTGGAGATAGACCTTGATGCAGTAGAAGAAGGTACCGATTTGGAGGAGAGTGGCTGCTCCGGCAATGGCGAGGAGTGGACCCCAGAGGTCACCCATTGAATGTGCCGCATTGACATGGCAGACATCACCGAATCGGTATGACACGCCGGTAATGGTGATGGTGACGGTGAAGAAGGTAGCGACAACGGACCAACCCAGTCCTTGAGCCCAGTAGAAGAACCTCTTGCCAGGCGTCACATCCCAGCAGATTTGGAGGTGCATCGACAAAGCGCGAATGAAGATCCATACTCCAAAGGAAAGCCCCCCGGAGATGAGAAAAGCGCCTGAAAATGCGCATGTCAGACTGGTGTACATGTCGTTGGGTGTTATTTCGTCATAACACTGTTCAGGTTGTGCTCCAAAGGGTACGACGAAGCCGAGCTGGTCTGCATAAGCATACGCATTTCTAACGAGCAGGTTCTACTTACTGCCATGAGAATTGCGGCGATGATCAAGCAATAACTCAAATAGTGCCGTCTAGTTTTCTCGGCGGGCAAGACTATGAATGTAATCAAGAGGAATACCAGACATATCAAGCCCACCACGTTCAACGCTTCTGCCACACGATAGTATGTATTGAAACCTGTGATTGATCAGTCTTGCAGTCTAAAAGGCATGGAGATTTACGTACGAGGTGGGTAGATGAAATCCGTCATTGGACATGGCAGACAACAGACCAGGTTTGCTGCAACAGGTGCGCAGAATCTTCCATCAACGACTACTTCTATCAGCGTGGGCCATCTTATACCCTGAGCAATGTACGTACATCCTTCCAGACTGAATTTTGAGACATCGAAGAAGGGCGGGGGGCAAAACCCTCGAAGTAAGGTGATGTTCGACATGTCGAATTAGAGAGTCCAGTATGAATTGGATAAGGGTGTTGGCGATGTAGTAAACATCAAGATTCGTCCAGCGGTTTGCAAACTCCCGCCTGAGGTCCGATGGAAAATAGTCGATGGGGGTGAGATCAGTGCAGCTAGAGTTCTGTCTAGACCTCGAGGGTCAAGTGGTGCTGTAATAGGAAGCCGAATGGCAGTGATATATTCGCCCAACTGTTCAAACTGTAGAAGCGAAGAGGATAGGCAACTGCCCAGGAACCAAAATGTATAGCGCGGGGGGAGGTGGTGACGCTGGCGTCGCTAGTCAAACCCAAGCACGACGAGAGAAAGGGAGGAAAAAGGTTGGTTCCAAAAGAGAGAGGCACATGAAGCCCAAGAGCGATTGACAGTGAACGAGAGACGTGACGGTAAAAAGAAAAGAAAAGCCGTGGCGGCACAGATGGGTTTGGCTGCAGACTGTGGCCAGGAGGAGGAAGCGGCCGAGTCTTGAATGCAAGCTGTGGTTGGGCCAGCAGGCTGAAGTCGATGCAGGAACCATCAGGTCTTGTCATCCCTGCAGGCTTCTGGAGCCTAGTCTAGCGTCAAACCCCCCCAGTACGGTGGTGGTGAAGCCAAGGGATCAGGCAGGCCTGTACGAGCGGCCAGGATGATGGATGGGGGGGTCTACTCTACCGTCTACTAGTATACAGACACACCCTACCACCCTACCAGGATGGCCAAAGTCGAGTCGACAGACGGACTCGCTCGCCACATGGCACTGGTCGGAATTGCGCCGGCAAGAGGCCATGTGCTCCCTTAGTTCCCGTATGTGCTTCGTGATGATTCGAGAACATCTTCGCGCGGGCAGCACACGCGATCACCGTTGGTTGGTGTCGATATGGGGGGGTTGAGCGCCTATGAGAGCAGGGAGACGGCCCAGTTACCGCAAGAGGTGTGCCCCTTCGGAAGACGGTACAGCGAGGTTGCGGAAGGTCAGGACTGTTCTCATGCGTGACGACTCTCTGTACTGCTAGGTCAACGCCATGGCCCAGAGTACCTGTGTCTGTCATGGGTGCCAACCAGTGTAGGTGCAAGCAAAACGGCCAGAAAACGGCCGTCTGTAAGTCTGTAGAGATTACAGTGTGCGCTCTGGGGCAATAGCAAAGTGTTGGTAAGGGCTGGTCATCGCTGGGCGAGCATACAAGCAATAGTGAAGGCGTGTTATGCGATGTAAAGAGTGTTCATGTCCAGGAGAATCGCCCACCGGATTTTCGCGACTGGCTCAGGTGGCTTTTAACCGACAACCCTTCCCCACCAATCGTAGCCTGCCGTTGGGTTTCGCTGTGGAGAAGGCACGAGCAGATCTTTTTTGATTAGAGGCAAGCGACCATGTTCATGCAGATGCCTTTCCGCCGCGCCGCAGTAGCGAGTCCACACTTTGTACGTCTTTTGCTGCAGAGCGGATGTGAATCGCCATGGTTGCGTCCGGGAGAGACCCCCTGACAAAGTATGGATGGAGGGGCACCACTGTACGACGACGACGACGACGACGACGACCACCAAACCCTCCAAGACGATGGGAGAAAGCGCTGTCAGCGACGGATGGAGGGGATACGAGAGACTCCGGGCTGGTGGCGCAGTGATGGAGGGCCTTCAGCTTCATGCAATCCGCGGCGGTTTCCAGTGCCGTGTTAGCGGGTTGTCCTGCTACTAGGAGGACCGGTAGGTAGCGGTACCATACGGTACCTATTGCCCAACAGACGCGCACAACCGCGTAACGCATAAGAAGCTGGCCAAAGAGGGCAAAGGTCGGGATGGCGTCTTCAGTCTTCAGTCTTCAGTCTTCAGTCTTGAGCCTTGACTTGCGCATGCGAGCGGAGAAGGTGGCCATGGTCCAACACAACACCGAGCCAGCTTGGGAGGCTCCACTGACATGAGACGTTCATCTATGCAACTCGGGGGCTGGCATACACGTGACTACATCCAAACAAGACTGGCCCGATTCCCGAACCGACGGCCTTTTGAGAACAGCTCTAGACAGTTTCAGACTTGCAGTCGACACCATAGTCTCGTAGTCAAAGTACACACCATCTCCACCACTACCGACAGTAAGTAGGATGATCACCAGCATCCCTCCCCCCTCCATCAGTACACACCTGCTCCGGCTCTTTCCTTCCACTACGGTACCCAGACTTTGGCACGGCCGGCTTCGCTTGATAGCCTCCATCTCGTTAGCCCACGGCGAAGACAAGTGTTGGCCTAATCGTCAGTGACCAAGGGCTGTTTCCAGCTGCTAGAGTACCGTGGGCATGTATCCAGCTACATACCAATGCAGAGCATCGCACTGAATAGAGCGGTCTTGCAGCATGCGAACATCCTCGTTGGACAACTTTCGCCGTGAGCCTGACAGTCCCAAAGAGGCAGCCATTGTTCTGTCATGATTGGGAAACGACTCGAGCATGGTCCGATATTCGAGTCGGCTGGGTGATTGACACTCGCGACTGCTCGCGACAACCGACTCGGCACTGTTCGACATCGGCGGCATTCTGGCGTACCAAGAGGCCGTCGGGGTGCAGATGAAACACACGCAAGAACAAAATGCCAGTTCCTCGTTGTTCTAGCGTGCACGCTATTCTCCAAATCTCGACTCAACCAGACATCACATCTCGCACTTGTCATCGCCCTGCAGCCACCATGGCCGAATTCGTATGTCAGGTGCTCTGGTGCTAGCAAACCTTGACCCGAGTGCAAGGCCAGATGAAACATTGTCGTCGTTTACTACCACTACATCAGCTTGCAAACGCGTGTCGCATGCCACCTATTCTTATCCCAACTTACACAGGAAAAGGGCGCCATTCACTACCAGATCTGGGACTGATGGAGACGTCTCGTGAGATATCTAGCACAAACATCCCCCTCTGCTGCCCAACACACACTGAAGACTTCCTGCCGACTTTCTCTCCGGCCATGTACGCCAACAAAGAACGAACTTGCACATTAGATGAGCAACATGCTACAGAGCAAACCGTGCTGCAACTCGATTCAAACTTTCCACCTCGAATATTGTGAGAGAGCATTGCTGTGATGGCTTTGCATTAGGTCCAATAGCAGCTGCAGTACACTCTGAGGCACATCAATGGAGAGTAGTCTTTCTCGGTCCGAAATACGGTAGGTACAATACGGTCCATGGCAGACACTGCCCCAACTAGCAACTATGGAGTAGGTAGAACATCGCAATGTGTAAAGCAAGCTTTGAACATGGAGTTGCCCAGCGCATCACGCATCACGCATCTTCTCAGCTCGTCGACCCCTTCTCCGTGTCGACTTCTTCACTGGGAGCTTGCCCCATTATATTCGAGACAATCCGCACATATTTTCCACTTGCAATGGACTACAATCAACCACCAGCAAACTCATCAGCTGATACCACAAGCAAAAGCATACCACCAATCGCCCTTTGCAACTTCCGAACCTCCGATGGATGGAAGATCTCTACCCCGTACAAGATCCACCCTGAATGCGGAGTGACCGTACGTCAACCTTCCAACCGTGCCTCACGAACCCTGGTCCGTGTCCCGACTCCCCAATGTCCTAGCTACGGTAGGTATGTATGTACATCGGAATCCTACATTCGCCCATTCAAACGCCGCCAGATATTCCCTATCCAATCCTCACACCCTCACCCACCCAATCAACCGGACAAAAAAAATCATCTTCACATATTTCCCGCACACGGGATCGCTCACGGGATCAGCGGTATGCATGTACTGTATGTAAATTGTACTGGTATATACCCTTGTGCCGTACCGTACCTACGTGTGCAAATTCACCCACATTGTTGCGTGCTTGCGTAGCATCGACATCCCACCAACGAAACGAAAAGAAAAAAATCAGCGCGAAAGCACGCCTCATGTGTCGCACAAGAACGTGCCGTGTTTGCATATGCCGCAACCGTTTATGCTCCTGCTCCCGTGTCTAACACATGTACCCCCCAACCGGAAAGCCAGGAATCTGAAATCCATGCCGCGAGCACCGCGTTCCTAGGACGCGAGACTTGTGTGGAAATGAAAATGTTGGCTTGCGCAGAGGTTTGCCAGCCCGGTATGGAGAGTAGACAACCCCAACCCCCAACCCCGGCGCGCCTGTCCCAGTACCGGTACTCGCAGGATTCCAGCCAAGCGTCAGCACGACGACGAATACAGTAGGTAGCTCGTCTGCCACGAAACCACCCCCCCCCCCCCCCCCCCCATGCAGTGCGTGAAATCTCGACATTGCATATGGCGGTTTGCTACAGACAGATTACTGATATTGACTGGACGCCTGTTGGTCGCGCGGGGCTGGTGATGGATGAATCTAGGTCAGAGGTTGTGGTGTATGGTGCCAACGTACCCAGGGTACAAGTACGTAGGGTACGTAAACGTCACTGTATTCGAGGCGGCGGCGGCGTGGGGAAGAAAACTGTCATGATGATGGCTAGGTAGGATGATGGCGTGGTTTTGTTTCCAGACCTGCGGGTTTGGGTTGCGTGAGCTGGAATCCTGGGTGTTTTCATCATGGAGCAAGTGGTGTAGGTAGTTACGGTACGGTACTAGGGATGCATCATCCCCCCACGAAACATATGAAACATTTGGCAAACATTCAACCCAATCCATCACACGCGCTCAACCTACCCTTTTCTTCCTTTGTGCTCTCGCCATCGCCCACACCACTCGCTCGTTTCATAATCCACGTTTAAATCCTAGGCCACCAAGAACGCTAAACGCACTAAAAATAAACAATACAAACAGCGGACCACTGCTTTGGGATGAAAACCTCGCAAAAGATGTCATGCGTTGAAACTGTGATGGTGTGTCCATCTGTAGACACACACACTTACACTTTACCCATTCCGCGCCCGCAGTCGACGTCCATGATTCAGTATAGTAGCAAACAAAGTCGGAATACACACCCTGTTCCTTTGTGCTTATTTCCCGCACGCGATCACAATGGCGGGGGGTCTGGGGAAGGGCTGTGGAGATGGAGGGTGCTGTGTGACTGGGAAAGAATACCGGGGGAGGGGAGGGTGCTACGGGTAGTTTATGCTTTTTATATCTCTGTTGGGCGGAGGTCTTGGGAGTGGGGGTGGAGATTGGTTGGGGTATAAGAGGGTGTTAGAGTGATGGGATTGAGGGGATTGAGGGTGTATGTAGGTATATATGTGTTTATAGGTGTGTGGGTTGTACGTGTAGTTGGATAGAGTAACATGCATCAGTCTTGCGAATACCTCAGTTGGCTGGAGATGGTAGATAGCAAGTAAGTGAATAATAGATGGGTGAATTAATAAATAGGTAGATGAAGAATGCAAGAAAAAAACACGCACCCACTCTCCCAATCCAATCCAACCTACACCAACCCCAAGAAAACCAACTCAAAAACCAAACCAAACCAAAGCAAAAAAGGGTAACATACACACATATCAATTTCTCAGCCTCGAGTATACAATCTAAAATTTTCAAAAACACACAAAAAACTCTCGTTGTCGTGTCCGTTGTACTGCTTTGCTCGCTGGGCTCTCGCTCACTGGTACCAAACTACAACAAGTACAGTCACAGTATCATCCTGCATCACCTCACTGTCCCACAAATACAGTCTCTCACACTACAAACACGCATCCACATCCACATCGCCAATGAATCATCAACGTCATCATCATCAACACCACAACACAAACCCCCTTTCACATAGCACATCAACTCACGCCCAATACACACTGGGACGACGCTCACGCCTCCCCCTCCGCAACGATCGACCCCGTCCTCTTCTTGAACTCCGACCCTACATTATCCACAATTAGCACAAAGAGATTCACGCACAGACATCAGAACGGGGGCTCACACAGTAATTCACATCTGGCTTCTCATCGTACCCCTCGCCGTAGAGGTCCGCAACTGCATCCTCTACGTAGGCGGGCGCATTGTACTGACCGGCATCATACGGGTCGTACTGGTCGTACCTTGAGTCGCTGGGCTCGTAGTCCGGGCTGTGGTAGTCGGGCTCGTAGGGCGAGTAGGCAGAGCCGTAGTAGCCTTCATCGTCGTAGTCGTAGTCGTCATAGTCGTCGGAGCTGCGATGCCCGGCGCGAGAGTTGCGATGTCCGGACTTGGCGGTCGCGTACGAAGCCTGCGTGATGGCGTTGTACTGGCCCATGGGGTCGAGGCTTCCAGCTGGACCTGCGATGGCGTGGAGGGCGGAACCAAGCTTGGAGGCGTCGTCGAGGTCGACGCCTTCGTCGTATTGTTGGCGGGTGCGGAGGCCGTGACGCATGGTGCGGCGTTTGGTGATGAGGTCGCGGCGCATGAATTGTTTGGTGGAGCGTCGCTTTGTTGTACCGAAGTCACCGATGGCTGGGAGGGTGTCGAGGGTGCCGAGGATGTCGACGGTACCGGCGGCAGGGGGGCCAACGTTGGGAACAATGGTTGTGGTAGGGGCGAAAGCTGCTTCTGTGTTTGGTGATATAGCGTCAGTGGTAAATGGTCCAGGGATCTCGGTAGACATCTCGGTAGGCATCTCGGTGGTCGTTGGTGCGTCGGGGGTCATGGCCGGAAGGATGGCCAGTGGAGCAGCAGATGTTGGTTCTGAGGCGATCATGGTTGAGTTAATTGGTGGTTCGGGATCAGGAGTGCCAGGTCCGGGGGCGCCGCCGGGAAGCTCTACACCCTCAAACAAGGCCTCCAGAATCAACAATTTGTCAGCTGTAGAGAGTGGTAGGATTCAGGCTGTTCCTTTAGAAGACAGAGTAGTGCAGT